AAAAAATGAAGATTTGCGCCGGGACTATGTAGACTTCATGCAAGAATACGAGTCGCTCGGGCATATGACGGAAATTCCGCAAAATGAATATAATTTAAATACGGGTTATTTTCTACCTCACCACGCGGTGATAAAAAGCGATAGTATCACAACTAAATGTCGGGTTGTGTTTGATGCTTCGGCGAAAACAGATCAAGGGTCGGGACCCTCACTAAATCAAGTACAATTTACAGGACCCGCATTACAAAATGAGATTTTTTCGATTTTGGTTAATTTCAGACAATATAAATATGTAATGTGCGCGGACATATCTAAAATGTATCGTCAGATTTGGATTAATAAAAACCATCGTTCTTTTCAAAAAATTTTTTGGCGATCGAATCCTGACGAACCTTCAAGATTATTTGAATTAAATACTGTCACATACGGGTGCGCATCATCTCCCTATTTAGCGGTGCGTTGCATTTTACAGTTGGCGCGAGATTTTGAACATGAATACCCGAATGCGTCGAAAATTATTTCAACTAATTTCTATATAGATGATTTGATCACTGGCAACAATAGCGCTGAAGAACTCTTGAAGCTTCAAAAGCAAATTTATGATATTTTATCATCCGCTGGATTCGAATTAAGAAAATGGTTATGTAATGACGTGTCATTGTTGCAAAAGTTTAAATTAAATGACAAAACCCCAGTTAGTTTATTGCACAGTGGGGAAAACGAAAATAACAAAACTTTAGGGGTATATTGGAATGCAACAAACGACACTCTCCAATATTCTATTTGCAGTTTTGACGAATATATAACAGACATTTCTAAAAGAAAAATCTTAAGTATAATCAGTCAAATTTATGATCCTTTAGGATTATTAGGCCCCATTATTATTTTGGCTAAGTTGTTGATGCAAGATTTATGGCGTTTACAAACATCGTGGGATGAAAAGGTACCTGAACACATTTTTAAAAAATGGTTAGAATTTCAAACTAATTTAAAATTAATAAATAATCTAAAAGTTCCACGACATGTTTGTTTGCCTGAGTATGATTGCATTGAACTGCATGGATTTGCTGATTCTAGTATGAAAGCGTATGGAGCGTGTATCTATATTAGGTGTATAAGCAAAAATATAATTTCGGTCAAGCTTCTATGTTCTAAGACAAGAGTGGCACCAATAAATACGGTAAGCTTACCTCGACTTGAGCTTTCGGCATGCGTGTTGTTAGCAAATTTAGCTAAAAAGGTCAGGGAAGCTCTTGGCATAAATTTTAACAGACATTTCTTTTGGACTGACTCTTCAGTAGCTCTAGCTTGGCTGAGAGGTGACATTTCAACTTATAAAACTTTCGTTGCCAACAGAGTTAGTGAGATAAGATCCCTTACAGATAAATCTGATTGGTATCACGTTACCAGAGTAATACAGGGTGGTTTAAATTCAATGACGTTTGAAGACTTGTCCACTTTGCTGGTAGAGATTGAGAGCATTCTTAATTCACGTCCTCTATCCCCCTTATCCAGCGACCCGTTAGACCTCAACCCTTTAACTCCTGCACACTTCTTGATTGGTCGCAGTTTGACCAGTTTACCAAGTGGTGATAACTTTGTGGATATATCGCAGAATCGACTTACCAAGTTCCAGCAGTTACAAGGCATGGTTCAAAAGTTTTGGACTCGATGGAGTCGTGAGTACCTCCACGAGCTTCAAGTTCGCTCAAAATGGTACAAACCTGAGAAGAACCTCAAAGAAGGAGCTATGGTGCTGTTAGTTGATGAAAATACACCTCCCTACTTGTGGAAAATGGGGAGAATTCTTAAGACTTTTGCTGGTAGTGACGACGTAGTGCGTGTAATCGGAGTATTAACGCAGAATGGTGTTTTCAAACGAGCTGTTAATAAAGTGAGACCTTTACCAATTGAAACCTGTTAAATGAAACTCTCATACATTTGAACTGTTTAATTTTTTTTTTTTTTGGGTTTAGGGAAAAATTTATCTACTTTCTTTTTTATTTAAGTATTTTCTTTATTTTGATTTAGGTTAGCTTAATCGCAAAAAATGTTACTCTGAAGCCCTAGCGGCCATGTAACTAATTTTAAGTTAGTTTTAAGAATGAAAGATGTCAATCTGAAGCCCTTACGGCCATGTGAATAAGTTAAGTTTTTATGTATCGTTTTGAAAACGGATGTTTTCAAGGTGGGCGGTATGTTTAGTTTTCTAACACCACCGGTGCCAGCCTATAAAAATGTGTTATCTTGAGTACCCTTTACGGTGTTAGCCTCTAATTTTTGTGTCGGTCTCGATGCGTGTCGTCGCACATCGAAAGGGTAAGAAGAAAGAAGAGGGGGCGAAGCCAGCGCCAAGAAATAGATTATCGATTTTTGATATAATAGGTACAATGTTACGTTGTAAGGTACCGTTTTCTTTCTTTTGGCAAGAATTGTCCATTTTTCTTTATATTTAATAAAGTTATTCAAGTAAAAAGTATTTTGATGATTTTCTTTTCAACCAAAGTCAACTAACCAGTTATAAAACATTACAATTGGAATATTAGACTATTCCAATATTCGACTTTTTGACTACATATTCGAATATTCGACCATTCGACTATTCGAATATTCGACTTTTCGACTATTCGAATATTCGACTATTCGAATAGTCGAATATTCGACTATTCGACTAATAGGTATTCGAATATTCGACTATTCGAATTATTCAACTATTCGAATAAAATACCAAACGACTATTCGAATACTTGAATTTTAAAAATTCCGAGCCCTACAATATACCGCCACTCCTCCATGCTTTCCTTCGTCCCGACAAAACATAGACATAAATTTGAAATTAAAGATAGCGAGTTTCTTTAATTGATCTTCATATTTCCAATGCTGTGTAACACATAATATTAGACATTCTTCATGTGTACTTAACATCAACGGCGCCCGCAGAATTTGTCACAGGGGGGGGGCAAATAAACTGCTATTGGGGGAATCGTGGAAAGCGCACCGCAGGCGGAATTTTTTTTTTTTGGGCCACACCCAAATTTTGCTAATTGTAACTAATATAATAAACATTAAAAAATAAAACAATTTGGAAATACTTTTATTTCGGACGGAAAAAAAAGTTAATTCTCTGTATCTTTTGATAGGTGCACAAATTACTTTTCCTTGTGGGAAAAAAATTAAAAAAATTGTAATCAAAACTAAAACAACACAACGTAAATGAAATATTCCAAATTAAAAAAAATACATTTTTCCGACTAGGTAAATGCAAATTGCAATCTTCTTGAGTCTCTCCCAAACCTATTAATAACTTCTTCATAATAGTTATTTATGCAACAAGTGTGTAAAGTGAACCTTTTTTCACAAATGTGAAGTTTGACGCACGAGCCGAAGGTGAGTGCGACAATCACATGAGTGAAAAAAGGTGCTTTACACACGTATTGCATACAACATTTTTTCTACTACCAATAAAATATGTGTAAAAAAGTAATTTTGGATAAATACTTTACGCACTAGTGCGTGAAGTATTTTCACTTTACGCACTAGTGCGTGAAGTAATTTACCAGAAAAATACCAAATTGACAGTTGTCGACATCTGCCATTGACATTACCTTACGCACTAGTGTGTGAAGTGAATTACTTTACACATTAGTGCGTGAAGTGAAATTTTACGTCTTCTGAACAGTGTGTAAAGTGAGTACTTTACGCACGGTAGTAGAAAAAAATCTTTATTAACCAATTCATTCATCAATGATCGATGAATTCAAATCAAAAAAAATAAAAATGGAAATACCTAATTTTTGTTTTTTTTTTTTTTCTCTTTTATTTTTAAGTATTTATATTAAAAGCCAGGGGGGCAGATGCCCCCCCTCCGGGCGCCCATGCTTAACATGTCGTTTATCAAGTCTACCGAGTTTCCTAATGATTGCACATTTTGGTGTATTATACTTCTGAAATTCCTTTTTTGGCGCGTTGGTGTATTCTTTATAAAAAATCTGATGAATTTGCCGTAGTTATCGCTGTATAGTTTATACTGTTCCTGTACTGGAGTAACCTTCTTTTAGGTACCGGGCACTGATTGTCCCGTGCAGAGTGATGACATAAGTTTTCCTCATGTTTCATTTTGGTACAGTTAGGGCATATTAGTTTTTCTGTTCTACAGTCAGCACCATGATGTTCACCACCGCATTTGTGACAACATTGTTTTTCTTTGCAGTGCTTTGCTACGTGACCAAAACCTGAGCAGTTATAACATAAAGCTAAGTTGAAATGCTCATAGGCATGTACTTTGACAAGATCAAAATTTATTGTTTGCTTCTTAAGGAACCATTTTGAGATTTCTGGTGGTGCTTGTAAGATCCAGTTTTCTTTAAAGGGATTTCTGCATTGTTTTTTAGCTATCACCTGAATTTTCTCCTCAATACTATCTCCCAGGTTTGATTCGATTTCGTCGTTAAGTCGTATGATATCTTCCAGAAACTCTTCATTTGTTATCCCTTTTGCTATCCCTGTAACCATGAACATTGGATCCATATTTGACGTTTCCTTTATTGAAATATCCTTTTTTCCAACAAGTACATTTTTAAGTTTTTTATACTGGTCTTCATTATGGCTTTCCAACACTACAGCGCCATTTTTTAGATGTTTTACATTTTTAAGAGCACCGACACTTTTGGATGATATATGCTGTTTGAGGGTTTGGAGTGCATTTCGGGAATCAGTTGCATTACTAATTGTTACTACAGTTTCCAATTTTCTACTTATTTTTGGCGTTGTCCAAGAAGTATCTTCCTTAGGTACATTCTGTTTGTCTTCAGATGCTTTTCTGGTGTCAGTCACATCAGTATAGGTTCTTTTATTTTCCGTTATTTGGTTGTTTTTTTCTAGGATTTGTGAGGCTTTCTGTTGAGTCAAGTATACGTTTTCTTTCTCAATATACCCAATTTTATGTACAAGGAGAGTTAGGCATTTGTATATCTTGAATGTTGCACCTCTCAATTACTCACAGTCGGCCTTTACTAATGGCTGAATATCATCCAAGGAAGAAAAAACTTGGGATATCATATTTTCCAAATTTACAGCTTCAGGTTTTGCATTTTCAAAGTTTTGGCTACTTTCGCCTTCTGATTCCTCTGTTTTCTCTGTTTCCATTTGCATCTGGTTGCATTGTCTTTTAATTTCTCGCTCCGGGGTATTTTCAGACCTAGGCCTTTTCGTAACCGTATAATTTTTTATTTTCTCTGCGTTTATATCTGGTAATGTATTCCGTTCATTTTCAGTTGGTAGTGTACGCGAAACCGATTTTTTCGGCTTGAAAGGATCGTCAAAGACGCTTTCTATATTTCCGTTTGTTTCATCCTGATCCTGATACTTTAATATAGGATCCATATTTTGTATATTTAACACTAGTAATGTCAGCTCTATTTGCTGACCATTCATATAAACTGCTTAATTCGCTTTTCTTTATTATAAATATCGCTGCCCGCCTAGAATAGTTAGTCAGTTGAATTGTAATTATATTTCTTATTTGAAACTTTGTAACGCGCAACGCGAAGTATTTCTCTATTGTAATTTAGTGAATAAATTGTTTTTTAAAAACTTGTTATCGGCCTACGTATTGATAACTGGCGCAGTCGTCCGGATTTTTTGTTTTTGGAACTGGTTTACGAACTTTTCGGAAATCGGACTAACCGGGAACTCGAATCTACACCCTTGTGTGAAAATCGTGTTAAGTGTTTGCGAGAAGTGTCGGAGTGGCTTTACAAAATCGAAAACCAAAGAACTGCCTTCAAGCAATCGGATTATTAAACCAAAATAGCCAATATTCGCGAGACCAGGATTAATTTGGAAGGATAAACATAGCCTACCAGAAATTCTTGGCCTTATAAATGTTGCTCTACGGAATAATCTTCATGTAAGTGCAATGTGCAATTTGTAATTTCTTTAATGTCTGATATTGATGAATTAACAGAAAGATTATTATCTCTATCTCTACCTTCAACTGACTCACCTTCTGATACAGAAGAGTTTATAAGAAATATTAATCAAACATTAAATAACAGTGCTGCAGATACTGATTTAAGCACTAATCAAAATAATTTAAGTTCAAATAATATTAATACGATTAACAATATGGCTCAATTTAAATCTGAGTACTTAAATTGCGTACCACAATTCGATGGTAACCCTAACGATTTGAATAGATATTTGGCAGTATGCCAAAGTTTAATTGATAATTTCTATTATGCAACCAAACCATTTTCAAAATATTTACTTAATAAATTGCATCATTGGAAAACTAACTGGGAACGCAAAATTGATCCTAGGTACAGAAAATGTTACTACTTGGGATAATTTGAAACTAACTTTGAGTAGGCATTTTGCAGTTCAAAGAGACGAGGCATGTTTAAACAGAGATCTCGTAATGTTGAGACAACAAAACTCAGAAAAGCCTAGTCAATATTATGACAGGGTTATGCATATTTTAAACCAGCTTTGTTCTTATGTAAATAGTCATGAAGTTGACCAAAATGCGAAAAATTTAAAGCGAAACTTATACAATGATCTTGCCCTTAAAACTTTCTTATCAGGCTTAAGGGAACCATTGGGAACAACAATTAGGTGTATGCGTCCCAAAGACCTTCCCGAAGCTTTACAGTTTGTCACACAGGAATATAATACACAATATTTTCAGAATATAGCTAAAACTCAACAAAAACATCCCTCACAGCACTTCAAACAAAATACACAACAAAGATACAATAATTCCAACACATTTAATGCTAATACACCAAATAACACGTTCAATCAACAAAAATTTCCATCTCAACCTATTCATGTGAGACCTGATTATAATATAATACAACAAAAATTCCCAACTAACTCACAGGTCTTTAAAAATAAAAATCAGACCAATGTATTTACACCAGGTCAAAACAAAAATTTTCCTAGACCTACCCCAATGTCTACAACGACAAGACAAACCTATTCTGCTACCAATGCACCACAAACTTCTGGTAATAACTATTTCCAAGTTACGCAACCACGTAACTTTATTTCAGAAGAATTATATAATACAAATACGACGAATGTCACTGACCTTTCTTACACCGAAAATGATCAAGAATCATATTATTATGAGACCGAAGTTGACCCTCAACAAAGTTACAATTATTCCGATAATTATAACGATTCAAATAATGAATTCCAAACCACTGAATTCGTAGAATACGACACAGCTGGTTCTTCGGAACAATCAAATTTTCAGGAAATTCAGTCAACCAACCCTGCACCCTAGAATCACCTGAAATAATTTCATTCAATAACGTCAACGCAAGTGAGCTGTCCTATATCGTCTTTCCTGAATGCAATCTCAAATTTCTCATAGATAGTGGCTCCGCCAAGTCGTTCATAGACCCCGACTTAGGTCAAAAATTCTTTCCAAATCACATAAGCTATGAGCCATTCATCGTTTCAACTGTTTTCCAACAATCAGCACATCAATACAGTGCTCAAATTCCCGCTTCAAAAATTTTTAATCTACCTAATAGGAAACCTTTGAAATTTTATTTATTTAAATTTCATAACATCTTTGACGGCCTTATAGGACTTGATAATCTAAAAATGTTACAAGCTAGCATAAACTATGAAACAGGATTCTTAGTAACTCCATTTGCAAAAATCAAGTTACAATTCCAAAGAACGAACATAAACCAAGCATATAATATCACTCTCTCACCACGTACCGAACAGCTAGTGAAAATTAAAACCAGCATACATGATGGCGAAGCTATAATTCCATATCAGAAAATGCATAATTGTGAGATCCCGAACTCCCTAAGCATTGCAAAAAATGGATACGCTTTAACGACAATCTTGAACAATACATGTCAGCCAATTATATTAGATTTTTCACGACCAATTGAAGTGGAACCATTTAATAGAGAAGAAATAGAACAAATTGATCTAAATAATTTTGTGGCATCAAATTACGATACTGATATTTTTGACTATACTGGAATTCGCACAGATCACCTTAATTCAGAAGAGAGAGCCAAAATAATTGAATTATGTAGAAAATATTCGGACATATTTTACCAGGAAAATATACCATTGACATTCACGAGCGAAATAAAACACTCTATAAAAACAACAGATGAACAGCCTGTATATACAAAAACATATAGGTACCCATTCATTCATAAGCAAGAGGTTGAATCACAAATAAGGAAAATGCTGGACCAGAATATTATACGCCCAAGCAATTCTCCTTGGTCTGCACCTATTTGGGTAGTCCCAAAAAAGGCAGATGCTTCTGGGAAGCAGAAATGGAGAGTCGTTATTGACTTCAGAGGCGTCAATGCAAAGACCATGCCAGATAGATACCCTCTTCCTAACATAACGGACCTTCTGGATAAGCTAGGGAAGTGTCAATATTTCACAACTTTAGATTTGGCTAGTGGGTTCCATCAAATTCAAATGAATGAAAAAGACATTGAAAAAACGGCGTTTAGTAGAGAAAATGGCCATTTCGAGTTTCTCAGAATGCCCTTCGGTCTATCCAATGCCCCCGCCACATTCCAGAGGGTCATGGATGGCATTCTACGAGGAATCCAAAACGAGAAGTGCCTAGTTTACCTTGATAACATTATAGTCTTCTCGTCGTCATTACAGGAACACTTGGAGCGATTAGAAACCGTATTTTTAAAGATTAAGAGAAACGAATTTTAAGATCCAATTAGATAAGAGCGAGTTTCTAAGGCACGAAGTAGCCTACTTAGGACACGTTATAACACCTGAAGGAGTACGTCCTAACCCAGATAAAGTCAACGCAATCAAAAAATATCCCATACCAAAAACAACGAAGCAAATAAAAGGATTTCTTGGACTATTAGGTTATTATCGACGCTTCATAAACAATTTTGCAAAATTAACAAAACCACTAACCAAATGTTTGAAAAAGGGAGCCAAGATTGAACATAACCCAGAGTTCATTGACTGTTTCGAAAAATGTAAAAAACTATTGACAAATGAACCGATACTACAATACCCGGACTTTTCTAAAACCTTTAATTTGACCTGTGACGCTAGCAACGTAGCGCTAGGCGCAGTACTGTCGCAAGGGCCCATAGGTCAGGACCTGCCAATAGCATACGCATCCCGTACATTGAACGACTCGGAACAAAACTACTCTACCATTGAGAAGGAATGTTTGTGCCTAGTGTGGGCGACAAAATATTTTAGGCCATACCTGTATGGACGAAAGTTTGACATCATAACAGACCATAAACCCTTACAGTGGCTGTTTAACTATAAAGATCCCACTCCAAAATTAGTACGATGGCGAATAAAATTACAAGAATTCGACTACCAAATAACATATAAGAAAGGAAAACTTAACACAAATGCTGACGCGCTAAGTCGCATTGAGTTACACACAAAAGACGCCGCCAACATCTCGAGTTTAGTCTCATACATCGAGGAATTTAATAAGCAACTTGAACAAGAAGGCACCTCATCGTCGAACACGAACAACGAAAATATAAATGCAAACGAAGATAACTTAGACCTAATTTCAACGATGGCACAACCCGACCTTGACCCACCAGCAAATGAAGACGACAATGAAACCATACATACAAATAACGAACAAGATCCTATAGTAGGAGTCCCTATTATAGAATCAGCAGTTAATTACGGAGCTAATCAAGTGATTATTACGAGCGTTTTGCATTCACCTGCAAAAACAAAACGCTTGATATTATTCGAGAAGAAAAGAAGATTTCTAGTCCAATTATCGGAAAATAATTTTGAAAATGACGTCATGCAATTTGTGAAAGAAAATGTAGTACCCGAAAAGTTATATTCCATTTATTTCGAAAATCCAGATACTTACTAACCTTTCTGCGAAATAATAAGGAAAAACTTTAAATGGCCTTCAATTAAATTTAAAAGATGCTTGATAAAATTAATTGATGTAGTCAACAAAACAGAAATAGCAGAGGTAATTCAAAATTACCATGAGAGCAAGACAAATCACTGAGAAATCGAAGAAACCGAACGACGAATTAAAGAAAAATAATATTGGCCCAACCTGAAAGAATCCATTCAATCATTTATCAATGAATGTGAAATTTGCCAACGTAGCAAAT